AATAAAATTTTGGCACAAATAAAATATATAAATTTCAAGTTTGCGAATATTTACTCTATTTAATATTTTATAATATGATATACAGTATTCACTATATTATATTATACCTATAAGTGTATTGTTTGATATGTTGGCATAAATTGTATTAAAGGCTAATATCGGTCGATAATGAAAAGTACTTTTAGAAATTGATAGCGAAAGAGGATCTCATCGGATGTGCTTTAAAGTGAGTGAGTGAGTGAGTGAGTGAGTGAGTGAGTGAGTGAGTGAGTGAGTGAGTGAGTGAGTGAGTGAGTGAGTGAGTGAGTGAGTGAGTGAGTGAGAGAGAGAGAGAGAGAGAGAGAGAGAGAGAGAGAGAGAGAGAGAGTATAACACAACTCAGCTCTTTGTATGGTAATTAGGATAATGGCTGAGAGCATACAGTCGATCCCTTTCTAAATACAATTTACTTCAAACACTACTTATTTTTAACTTAAGTTGTTTTATATATACTTATATTATATATAATAGAATGTATATATATTTGCATCACATGTGGGTATTGAGGTATTGAACAAATAAATGGAAAGATCGTGTCTCTCCTTCCGATATGAATGCCTCCCTGTTCTCTATCTGTGCTTTCACTCTATCATTGCAACTATTAGTCTGCCTGTTGTGTGTTTCACTTAGATTTTTTGACACAATTTTTTATACATGTATACGAACAGACAGTATAGCATACACATAATATATATAATAAATTTATACCATCAATATATCTATTTGTATATAAATTATATCATATAATATTAAAAGTACTTTTATGAGTGTGTGTGTGTGTGTGTGTGTGTGTGTGTGTGTGTGTGTGTGTGTGTGTGTGTGTGTGTGTGTGTGTGGAGAGAGAGAGAGAGAGAGAGAGAGAGAGAGAAATGGATATAATGTAAATGTGGAAATGTTTCTCAATATTGTTTAGCATTACATTTAAGGCATTAAAGTGGCGATCCATACATCCAAACGTATAGTCGATTGAGCACTGCTTTCATGTCAGACCCGGTAATGTAAAGTCAGTGTTAGGTCTGATCTCAGGAGATCTCAATATTTCCACTAAAAGCTGCTTTCATTTCGTATAAAAATATTTCAAATTTTCTCGCATTAATGGCTCAATAAAACACATTTACTATTACTTAATCTATTTTAATGCTTTCGAAATTCCCATATCTTATATACAAATCTAATAATAAAAGCATTTTTTTTATTTTTTAAATAAATATTTTATTTTAATATATAAAAGTATTACTTAATTATAATCTTAAGTTAATAATAATTGCATTAATGTAGTTTAATAATTGTTTTTAAAAATAATTTGCTTATTTATTATAAATAATTTTACTTGATATTATTTTATAAATGTTTTACTTATATTAACTTAATTATTATTATTACTATTAAATAATGTCTTAGTATTATAATTAAATGAAATTGTATTATTATAAAATTGTGTTAAAAAATATTATAATAATTAAGAAAAGCCATCGCTTGTTAGTTATTTTAATATTAAGTAAAGTAAGTAATATATAAATACAATTTATTTCATTTAACTAATGAGACGAAAAGCGCTAAACAAAACTTTTTTTCTTTGCAATTCATTATGTAAATGAAGTCCTCTTAAAATAACTCAAATCCATTTAAAAGTAATATTTAAAAACACAGTCACTTCTGGATCTCTCTCTCTCTCTCTCTCTCTCTCTCTCTCTCTCTCTCTCTGCACTCATAATAATATTGTCACACAAATGCGAATCCTATGTAAGACTTGAGTGCCACACATTAAATAAAATTAAAATAAATTAAATTAAACTGAAAAGTGCATAAAAAGTGCACATATCATATAAAATATATTTTAAAATATTATATTGTATATAATGGTTGATATATAGCGCAACAGTATAAAAATAAAAACATTGGTTTTTCTTTATTATCTCAAATTTTTATCAAAACATTTTTTTATAACAATTTAATGTAATTGTGCACTGAATTTGTCTGATATTTATTAAATAAGCAGTGATTGCTAAAAAATAATGGCATAAAACAGTTAGTTATAGATAATACATTATTAAAGTTTTTTATTTTATATTGTATATAAAGAAATTATTTTTAAGTAAAAAAGAAATAAAGAAAAACAAAAAATATTTATGTAAATATTAAATTAATGGTTTGAAAATATATTTATAATTTTAAAATATTAAATATTTTTATATCTGCAATGTATATAAAATTAAAATTATAAAGTGATTTTTTTACAAATTTTTATAGTTTTAAAATTTAATTGAATTAAATGTATTGTAAAGTTATGGGAAAAATACAAAAAAAAACAATTTAAGTTGCAATAAATGTAATAAAATTTAATGTTTAAAAATTTTATATAAAAATATTTTTATCTCATAAAAAAAGAGGTTTAAAAAAATAGCAAAATAATTAAAAATATCTGTTTTGTTGTCAAATTTGAAATTTTAAAGTAATAACAATAAAAACTCATTTATAATATAAGATAAAATTAATGTTAAGACTTACTGTACATTTTGCTTGTATTGCTGTACTATTTGTTATTATTTTGTAAACACACTGCTATTTTGTTTTATTTAACATATTTTAAAAATGTTATTCATTTGAATGTTTAAAACAAATGCAGTTTAATGTAAATATATTAAGTATTTGACTATAATATACACATAATGTACTGATTGTTAATCTCTTAATTTTTTTGACATAACATTAGTTAATAACATCGTTTAATAAAAATCAAAAATACAGTATAAAATCAAAAATAATTTGCGTCAAATAATTATAAAAAGCAATACATTTTCGTCTAATAGGGTTTTTTTTGATTAAAAAAAAGAAAAATATAGAAAATAAAATTAAATGACTTAATGCCAAAAATGACATAAATTTATTGTTGCGATCAAAAGATAAGCTCCTAATCCATGTCTTCATAAAGCAATACATTTTAATTAGATTTTTCATATTATTGATGAACTATTGCTTCATCTCATGTGAACTAATGTTTTACTTTTTATGTCTTATCTATTACTTTGATCTCATTTACCCCTCGACTCTAAAAAATTTGATTTACTTTTTTTTGTTTAACTTTGTTTAGCTGTTTTATAGATTAGTTTTGTTTGTGTCAACAAAAAATTAAAAACTTTTTCAATTGTTTTGTTGTTTTATTTCAAATCAATATTTTTTCAGTCAATCAATTTGAAAGCCATTAATATATTGAAAGATCATCGGAAAAAACTAAAAGCACAGATGCAATAAAATAAAACAAAAATATAATACATTAGAATTGAGACAACAAAAAGCACTAAATTTTTTTATGTAATAAATTTGTTTAAACAACTAACGAGAAAAAGAGAGTGAAATAATGTAAAAAAGTAATTATTAAATTAGTTGAGTACTATATATGTAATTTATACTGTATTATGAATTGTTAGCTTTAGTCAAGCGTTCAATATATTGCAATGAATTTGTTTTTAACAATAGAAAAGTTTGACTAAAAATTTATAGCTATGTTTGATAAACATGAGTTGTATTATTTAATACACATTAAATGTCGTCCAATAATTTACATTTAATGCCATTACAGCTAAGCTTTAATTATTTTTTCTACACTTTTTAATGGATATTTTCCGTCCTTTTTAATGCTTCATTTGAGATCAATTACAACGATATCATAGCAAATCTCTGATATAAATAACATTATAAATTACAGTACAGTATTTACTGTATTATTATTATTACTACTACTATATATAACTTATATCTAATATTATAGACATATAATTCTTTCGCTTTCAAAACTATATAACAATTTTCACTCAAAAAAACATATTTTATGATTTGGCTTAAAATGCTTTTAAATTCTGTGGCTTACGTTTACGGAATATAAAAACAATATTATACATACAGTATATATATATACAGTATTTATTTAACTTTTTAGAAATTACTTGTTTCATAAATATATAAAAATCAAGTAAAAACTAATAATTTATACTATACTTATAACAATAGTTACGATATATTTATTCTATTTATTTATTAATAATTTGTGAATGTTTTGTCTTAAAAAATAATTTAAATAATAATATAATTTATTTATCCTATGCATGATTTGATTTCATAATGAGCTAAATATAGTTTTAGTTTCCCTGTTAATTAGCAACAAAAATTAGAAATAAAAAAATGTTAATTAGTTTATTACTCGGGTTTTAAATTTTAAGATAATTTATTTTTTCTTTTCGCTCAAAAAACAAACTCTTATTTTTAAAAGATATAATAAATGTAAATCAATTTTAATTATTTTTTTATTCTTATATTAAACTACCTATTCGTTAATTAAATTGCATTATTCGATAATAATTTTGTTAATTTAAACGAAATAATAACAAATTAATTATTTATATAAAAATATGCTGCAAAATATATCTATTTTTATACCATAATTAATAAAAGAACTAAAAATGTTATTTTAATAAGAATATTAGATATTATTGATTTTTGCCTTATAATTATTAATAATAATAATAATATATTAATAATAATAATAATAATAATAGTGTATATTTTAATTAAAAACAAATTAATGTTTCAAAAAACAAATTTATTATTGATTTTAGGTTTTAAATAAAAATTTTCTAAATAATTACACAAAATATTATACAATTATCATACATACATTAAATAACTAAAACATAATTAAATAATAATTATAATATTTTCATTATTTTACATTAATGAAATATATATTATATATAAGTCTTTAACATAGAAATTATATAACATTAAAATTAAATTTATATACATTATTATTAAAAAATTATTGTAAATATACATAAAAGTTTCATAAATTATTGATACCGTTACGGCAATTACTATCATTTATAATAGTTTCTAACTATAATAATAATAATAATATTTAATTGAATTATTATTTATTTATATATATATATTGAATAACTTGTAGGTTGACTTGCATTTAGTATATACGTTGATATCTTAAATGTGTGGCCTTTTTGTCCTAGGTGATCTATATATAAAAAATGATTAATTTTTAATTAATTTTATTTTAAGCTATTATTCATTAGTGTAATAGCATAAAAGTTTGTTTTTAATTAATTAATAAAATAATTGTTGTACAAATTTTTAAAAATGTTTAGACAATGGCTTATATGCTGCAAAATAATTGTTTGCTTTGTGTTGTATACTGTTTATTAAATTAAAACTTATTTAGTGTATTATAATCATATAAACTACAATTTACTATAAAGTGTATGCTATTGTTTGTAACATTAATAATATAAAATCTCATTTAATATTCTGCCATTTTAATTGAAATTTTTAAATATAATTATATATACATTTTATATATACGGTATTTTGCTGTACACTACTTTATACTGTATTATTGTATTGTATTACAAACAACATTAAACTCAATGTTAATTACTAGATTTTAAATGAATCATTTAGTTTTGATTCAAATTCATATACATGTATAATATTACAAATATACAATATTCGATATATTATTCTTAATTAACAAAAATATAATAACATAAGAGCACAATTTTTATTATTTTAAAAATCTATCAAAAATATAAATAATATATTTTAAAACAATTTAATTAACTATATTTTGATACTTATTAGCTTAACTAAAAAATTGTCTATACAAACAAATAATTTAGATAATTATAGTTTTCAAACAATTTAAGTTGATAAATAATCAATTTAGACAATTGTTAAATCTTTATCAAATATAATATTTATATTATTACAACTCATTTATTAAAAGTGATTTTGTTTTTAAAGGTACTTATATATCAATCTGTAATCGATTAGTATTCAGTGTAGAAACACATTGTTTACAATAAACTTTTTAAACACATTAAACAACAGTAGCTGAGATTGTTTGTTAAAATTAGTTAAATATAATGAGATTCAAAATCTTTTTAACAAATATTAATTGTTAAACTATTTTGTAGTCTGTATTTAATCGTAATGAAAATGTGTGCACAAATTTTATACATCAATGACATTGAGTTTTGTGTTTTATTTAATGTTTAGAAAATGATATGAAATTAAATGAAAATTCATTTGTAATAACTATTGAAAAGTTTTTCTCAGCTCTTAATTGACTTTGTTTTCGGTCTCATTGTTAGCACAAAAAAGTTAAAGCAAAACAAATTAAAATGAGTTCTCATTATTATATTATCAATGCTTAGCTATTGTTACCATAATATTTGCTGACATTTAATGACCAAAAATATAAATTGCATTTTGACTCATGTCTTGTACTGAGATTGCAATTCATGTATTTATATAATGAAAAGCCGTATTCACTGCCCTATTGTCAACACATTTATGTTGAGGTCGTTTAAGAGGTACTCTTCCTCTTTGTTATTGGCTTTCACTTAGTATGTGATATCTGAAGCAGTGATGTGATGAGTGAAGAGTAAAACTCTTATATGATATATCATTAATGGCAAGTATTTAAAGAAATGGTCCAAAAAGTGGATCCAATAAATGGCCGGAACGGCGGTCTGGTATTCATGGCTTATCTATACATTCAAATGGCTAAGGGATGGACCGTATATGAGCTCAAAACGGAAATAACAAAAGGGATGAAAATGTTTACAATAGATGTCTGTCTATATCTATAAATGTATTTGTGGTGAACCACAGATTCACTGTATTTCACTTTTACTCAAAATAATTGTCAGACTCTCAGTGGCGGAGCTTATTATAACTGTCCACAACTTTTCACTATATTTCTATCAACTGTTTCAACTATATTACGCATCTTTACTACTTATAAATCAATCAAAATATCATTTATTATATATTTAATTTATATTTTTTCATTAAAATTTATTTAATCACACGACTTATTTATTAATACTGAATAATTAAAAAAAATACTTATCATAAACAGTAAAAAATAAATAATAAAAACTTTTAAAGCATTTAATCTCAAAATTAATTTTTTAAAAACTTGTTAAGCATTTAAATAGTGGTAAACCTTATCGCAGGACAAAAACATTTTCAAGTTTTTCAGTTGTGCTGTTATTTATAGCAATATTTGAAGAAAAAACTTAAATTTTGTAATTTTGTTATCATTTTTGAATATAAACTAAAGTATGTGTTGAAAGATATTTGTGAAAACGCCACTCATTTCAACTCAAATAGTGAATCGACTATAATATTAAAGGCAGAGACAGACTATGTTTATAAAGAGTGCGTTAAAAGTGAAGTCAATGCTTAATGCAAACCGCGATAACACCTATTAATGGTCGACCGTTTCCGCACTGACATCGCACCGGCAGATAGCGAGCTGTTAGGCCTTATGTGAGATTTTAGTTTAATGCTATATTTAATGGCCAATCCATGAGATACTCATATATATATATATATATATATATATATATATATATATATATATATATATATATATATATATATTTATATTGTATGACATTGCATATGAAAATGCACCACAAGATCATCAAAAGTATATGAGCTTTAAGTGTTGAATGCATTCAATATTATATATCAGAAAAAGCACTCAAAGTATCACTAATTCAACTACAATAAGTCATTACATTAAATTGTAAGTCATTGCCAATAACCAACTGTTTGGACCATTGGACACATCATTTTTAGAGACCAATTTACATATCATTTATTTAAAAAAGATATTACTTGTTTCTCACAAATTTTTAATATTTTAGATCAATGTAAGCAAAACAAAATTGTTATTAAATTAAAATGATATGCAATCTATAGTTTAATACTCAATTCGCTTTAAATATATTTGAAACTATATACCGGATAATATTTAAATTGAAATACTTTAGATTATTAATTAGTTGTAAGTTTTTAAAATCTCATTTAAAAACCACTAAATAATAGAACCATTAGTTAGTTTTAAAAAACTTATTTTATTAGTTTCTCTTAGATATTGTTAGAAAAAAATCTACACATAGTTAGCATCGACTGTGAGAGTGTTGAGGTCGGGTCCCACTCTTTAGTTTGGCATTTGGCCGTTAGCTATGAGAAAACATTTTAATCATATACTGATACTTGGTTTTACAATTAGATAATATTCAGTCATTTATTATTTTAAAACTGTTTTTACATAACATTAACTAACATTAGCTGTAATATTAATTTTTGGAATATTTGGTAAAACTAATAGTTAATTATTATTATTCTGTATTAATTAACTAATTAATAGCTATTTATTAAGTAAATTATATTTTTATTCAGAGATAACTATTTATAACTAATAATAATAATAATTGAATAAATCAATCAATAAAACATAATAATCATTGAATACAAACAATAATTATTACAAATTAGTTTACCTTAAGTTCTAAGAAAGGCTTTATTGAGTGACTTTACATTACATTTCAACTAATTCTATGATTAATGCAAATAAAACTACAAAAATGTTATGTTCATTGAATTTAATCAACATTTCTTATAATTAAACTTATGGTGATTACCATTAATTAATTTCATATAATATTACACCAATATTATATTGTCAGAGCAATAAACATATTGAATAGTATTATTGTGAGCTATAAATGAAATCTAATGAAACATATGGCTAATTATGCTCTCTGTTTGATATTAATTAAAATTTGTTTCAAAATAGCAAAGAGATTAACGTTAAATGGAAACCAAATTTTATTACTTTATTTCATTTTACTTTAAACATACAAATTATTTTAAAAATAAATTTTCAAAAAATAATAAATTATTTTTTCAACTATTGATAAATAATTGTATACTACAAATTCAATTTAATAATAATATATCGGCATATTTAAAAATAAAATTATTCTAATTTATATGTATGTAAATAATAAATGCAATAAATTTTGTTCAAAACATATATATTTATTTAAAATACTTTTTTAAAATACTTTTTTCTAAATATAAATAAATAATTACAATTAAAATGTCAAAAAATTCTCTTATTTACATATTTTAATTTATCTCTACATCACATAAGGTATTTAAATTGTATAATATATTTAACGATATATATATATATATAAATTTATATATATATATATATATATATATATATATATTCAATATTTCTATATTTTAGTGAAAATGCTTTTCACAATATAATTATTAATATTCATTTTAATCAATAATTTAATTTAGTTTTGTTGGGAATATTCAAAGAATTTAATAATATTACCGTAAAGTTATTGCACTTTGCTTTGCCTGTTGTATACATCATATATACCGATATATATATATTACATAACTTCACTACAATTTTAATATAATAATACCGACATTTTTTTGTCTGTTGACTTATTTTCTAAATAAATGTTTTAAAATAGTAATTATAATGTTTTATAATAATACTATTTAATTTTTAAAATATATTAAACAATACAAAAATGATAAATTATACATTATAAGTTTAAATTACACGTATACTACAATTGTATACTTTTGGTCAGTTTAGTACAGACTCACTCACTCACTCACTCACTCACTCACTCACTCACTCACTCATTCAATCATTTTTTTCTCTTTCATTCAGTATATACTGTAATGTAAGTGTAAATATTGTATTAAAAATATAATGTATGGTTTATACTGTACATGTACTGTATGTGTGTTCATATGTATGATTATATTATTGTTTTAGTGTTTATTACATTGAATATCTTGTATTACATGATAGGAATGGCTGTATTAGTTGATGTTGTCTTTTATTATTAAGGGTTTAATACCTGAGTGTCGATCAATTGTGTTTTGTACCCAACTCTGCCAAAAATATTATAAGGTTTGCATTTAATGATGTATTTGTTGTCTAACTTTATTATGACTTTAATACACTATTTCCTAAATTATTATACAGTTAGACATTACTGTTATTACTGTTTATCTATCTTTCTCTCTCACACTCACTCTCACACTATTCTAATTTATTTAAAGATCAAAGCATTGCTTATATTTTTATTTAATGCAATATATTATACAATATATTTTACTATCAATTGAAAGAGAGGGAGAGAGAGAGAGAGATAGCAAAAATTAATAATAAAATAAATTAAATAATAAATTAAAAATGTGATTAAAGTAAAAGTTTTAGTCATATAAAGATATAGAAAAGAAAACAAAATTCAATAAATAGTTATTAAAAAAGAAAAATGTAAACAATTAAGCAATTAATTTGTGTCTAAATTTCTAATGAATTGCTGTTTCATTGAAGCAAAAATTAATTAACGACTGGTATTTTAGTTTTTCAATTACTTTATTACTTTATTTTCAATTACATGCAATCGACCGACAACTCATTCAATTTACTGTATCATAACTATTCAATATATACAATATATAAATTATGTGCGGATAAGGTATGTGCAGTGCTGTTATAATATAATATACACAATATATTTAATATATAATATTTTGGGTTTATAGCAATTAAATCATATGCAACGGCTGTCTCCACAAAATGTTATGTTATTTTACTATATATTTGAGAGCTCCTAAACTTCAATCATTTATATGTTTGTGTCGATTCATTAAATGATTATAAATTGTCTGTCATTACAATCGTATGCCATATGAATGAGTGTTAGAGAGTTTGGCACAAGAGTTGTAAAATATAATTAAAAAGAAAAGTCAAACACTTATATATATTATGCTTTGGTATTGTAAAAAAATTTAATAAAAGTTATACAACTTTCAATAAAGTCTTATAATATTTTACTTCATATATATACAGTATATACAATATATATATATATATATAATAAATGAATTGAAATTCTCTCTCTCTCTCTCTCTCTCTCTCTATCAGTTAAGGCTCAAGTATTAAAAATAACAACTAATACAGCAATTCATGATTGAAACTAAGCCTTTAACATTAGTTGTTAAATAATTGGCGTTTAAATTAATGTTTCTTCAATTTATTTCATGATATAAAAAAGTAGTTGTAATTAATTTTTTCATTTTGTCTTTTTTATTAAATTGCTATAAACTATATATAGATTTATGTTATATATATATATATATATATATACATCTATAGTAATTAATTAAAAGCAGTTTTAAATAAGAAATTTTCACATCTAATTGTTATTGTAGTAATAGCCCTTGCTCAATTATATAAATGTTTGTATATATAGTAATGAAATTGTTTTACAAGTTGTTGTTATGTTTTACGATTGTTGACTAATTCTCATAATACTGTATATAAATATATTTTTTATTTTTATTACATTACACTATAAAATACAGTATTATATCACAAAAATGTTAGTGACTTTTTGACATTTAAAATTTAGTAATAATTATATAATTTGTTTGATGAAGTTTTTAACGAACAACAATAGGGATGATATAATATTTTTGTATCATATATGCAAATATCCTACCGATTGGTTTCAAATGGTGAGTCTCCGCTGGCATAACCACTGGAACCGTCACACACTTCGACCAGTTCTTGTGTCTGTCTCTTAATGTGATCCAAACTTGTCATTTGATTCAGATTAGCGAAGACCATCCGTTCCTCGTAATCGTATTCACACAATATCTTATTGTCATATAAGTAGAACCGGTCGCCAACACAAAACCGCTATATATTTATATATTTATATATATATATCATTTATATTAAATTATTTATCAAACAATATAAAACAATGTTTTTAAATATAACAATATTATAAAATATTTTAATTCAAATCTAATTGTCAAATTAATTAATAGTATATATTTAATTATCTTAAATAACAAAATAATGTAAATTATTATAAATAATTAATATATAACTAATAAACAAATCAATTAATACATACATGAGAACAGGCCTCACATTTGAAGCACTCTAAATGATATACGTTTCCTATTGATAAACAAATATAATTACATTTTAGACAAAGTAATTAATTTTTATTATTTAATAAATTTATTTTCTAAATATTTTTTAAAAATTGATCTAATTAATTAAAAATATTTGACATTATTTCATATATACTAAAACAACTTAGCCTAATTATAATAATTTTATTATATAAAAATTTATATTTATATTCAGTATTTTGATTACGTAAGCGTGAGTTAATTAAAGCCATACAAACTTTACTATATAATACAAAAAGTATTTATTAAATTTAATTATTTTGATATAACAAATATATATATAAAGAGATTATGCAATACAATATCTCTCAGACAACTAAATCCTAAATTAAAATGTAATCAAAAAGTTATGATTGAATTTGATTCATATTTCTATAATTAAAATATCATATTTTGAGCGATTATTTCCGTTCATCAGTTTGTGGTAACAAAAAAAAGTTAATTAAATCTTCATTTTCTAAATAAAATAAATATATACAATAACTAAATAATAATATAATATATATATTTTTTACAACTCACGTCTTACACAAATACTATATTATTTTATTGTGTAAAAAATATATTGAAAAACTTAATATTTATAATAAATAAATTTGATATTATATGAGATGAGACATACCTCTGGCTCTCATAACCATTTCAAACGCCGGTATCTGTTTATTACAGGCCGAGCAAAGACCTGTCGCACCAAACATCCTATAAAACAAACAAAATACATATCAAATAATTTTATAATTATTTTCATAAATTTTTGTTAAATATATTAAGTTATTTATTGATCAGAAAACTCTCTCTCTCTCTCTCTCTCTCTCTCTTACTTACTTACTTACTCACTGACTCACTCAAATAACTTTTCATGTTTGAGTAGTTAACTAATAAATTTGAAATGATTTTTTGATTTAAAGCAGATATACGATTAAACTAATTGGTTATGGGATGAGAGTATATATGCAATCTGTTTATGAAAGGCTCGTAAATAATATGTGCAAAAATTAGATTTACTTATAAATTTGAAACTAAATGTTTGAATTTATAAAAAGTAATTATTGCAAAATTCATAACATTTATTTACATTTATGTAAATGACAAATGAAATTTGAGTTTAATAGTTGTGTTGATTAATTAGACATATTTGAACAAACATAGCATAACATTTAAATCAAACATTTTAAGTTTACCAATTTGTATGATATATGATATATCATAAAATCCAATTATAAAACTAAAAAATTGTTCAATTTTGAAAAATTAAAGCAAAATTACCCACAAAATAATGTACATTAATTATTTAACAAAAATTAGTTATATTTAAAAAATAATTATTTGATAATTTTTTTAGCATTTTTAAGTTATTATATGATATTTTGTAGTCAGAAAACTATTGAAAGTAAAATTCAATAAAAACTTAATAAATCATTTAATATAAAACAATATTAATATTTAAGAAATTTGATAAAAAATTATTGCAAAATAAGATAAAATATTATTGAATTGATTTGAGACCTGAGATAATCACGTTTACAAAGAATGAGATCGGCTTTTGTGAAGAGTGTGGACCCGACTTCACCCAAACGACAGTCACAACAAACACATTTGAGACAGTCTTCATGCCAGAGATGGTCCAATGCTTTCAATAGATACCTTTCCCGTATGACTTTATGACAACCGAAACATTCCGGTGCTGTGTTGGCCATCGATGGTGTTGTTTGTGTTGAACCAGATTTGGCTGTCGTTAGAGTTTGAAGTGTAGACATATGTGATGAACTCATTATGTCATTACCATTGGGTGTTTGACTATTTTGGCTGCCGGTGCTATTAATGGTGTTATTTGTGCCGATGCTGTTAATGCTATTGATTGAGTTGACGCCACCGACACCACTGCCAGGACCGGCATTAATGGTATTACTTGTGATAATCTGTTTTGAGTTATTCAGCGATTTATTGATTGCTGACATTTTACTTTTTGATCTCATAATAAATATCTTATGAAACGATCAGTGAATTAGCTTTTTTCACATCAATTGACAAATCACTTGAAAAAGACTTCAGTAGTAATGCACACAACTATTGCACATAAAGTTCACAATTGTTTTATAAAATCATATATTATTTGTTGGTTGCAATCGACTTGAAATTCATGGGATTTACTTCACATACTATTCATAACTATAATCATATATTTGAAGCTTTTATTGTCGTTTCGTATAACAAATAAGAGATTTTTATTTTAAAAGTTAGTATTGAATATGCAATACATTTGGGAGGCATATATGCAATACTTTGTTGTGTTGGCACAAACTGTCTCTATTGGCACCGAAACGCTAAGTGTAACACAATTTTGTGATATCACTTCTCTAAACAACCGCCCGATCGCTACCAGTGCTGACAAACAACTGACTGACTCCCTGTGCATCCGATGTCTATAAGTGCACTGCTCTCTCACTCTCCCATTACAAGCATCACAAGGCTTTCAATGGGAGCACCAGTGAGACGGCACTGTTAGCTCACAAACACGTGTCTGCGCTGAGACTGCACTCCAAACCAAAAGCTAAAACTCTCTTTAGTTATGACTTTAATCACTCTATGGTATTATAACTTATAACTAATGGAAATAATTTGATTGAAAACATTATTCAAAATATATAAAGATATTTTATTATTATTTATTTATTTATTTTTATAAAATTAAATATATTTATTTAAAACAAATGTTTTATTATTTAATGAAAGATTATAATTATCACATTTTAGAGATTTTGTTTTTCAAAGTGTTTTTTATTGTTTTGTAAATAAATTTGATTTAAAGTTAAAGATATGTTTTAAGAGATTGATGTGAAGTTTAAGTCGATTCTCATGTCTGAGAAAAACCACAATAAGAGAGACATAAGACTAAGCTTTATATTTAATTATAATTATCAATATAAACAATATTTTCCCAAAACTATTGCCTAAATATTATTTTTGTTAAACAATATCATACAATACTTGTCTTATATAATAGTTTGCATGAGTCACACATTTGAGTTTCATATAATACTTTAGTATAAACTGTATATTGAATGAAAAGCCTATAGCAAGACATTGAGTTAATTAAAAGAGATTTTTCATTATCATCTAAAATAATGAATTGCAAATACAACTGTTTGTGTGTGTCTGCTATGTCTGGCCATTGAATTAACAAAATGCTATTAAAATTGCAACAAAAGTTCATATATAATATAAATAATATTATATATATACAGTATATATACTGTATTGTATAAGTGTGTATAAGTGTAATGATCAATAAAAGTGTGCAAAAATACAATTATATCAAAACAAATAGATTGTATTATTAAGAGCACACCCACCGATTGCTCTCTCTCTCTCTCTCTCTCACACACACATACACACACACAGTGTGTGTGTTATGCCGTGCTTTTGATTGATCTGACAGTGTGAGTGAACAACCATTTACTTTATTATATGATATAACTAGATGTGCACTTTGAACGAGTATGAGAAGCAGCACATGAATTGAATGCTATTAATTGGGCACCAAATTAATGCCTTGAGGTTATGGTCACAACTGGCTATAAATGGTTCGCCAATTTAGTTGTCACGACACTCACTCATAGCAATACCGATTCAATGCTATCCATAGTATTCCTCATAATTATTGAGCACTACATCAATACCGAGACATCCTGTGATGGTTTTATACCCTAAAGCTATTCAACAAATATATATTGATATTAAAACAGTTTTATATCATAAATACCGTATATTATTGACTGTTTTTACACTTAAATAATTATTTTTTGTTAAAAATAGTATACAATTTTTGTGTTGATTGCATTAAATTGCTAAATAACTAATAGTTATGTAAAATATAAAAACAGAAAATCTCATTTTAATCAAATTTTAAATGCCATTATATATTTTGTTTTTTATTTTATTTTTTTGCAAACAAATTCTTTAAAAATTTAAATTTATTTCAACCCACTTATAAAGAGTCAAACTTTGAAAATATTTCTATTATTTAATGTCAACTTTTACTTTAATTATATATTTTTATTTATGTTGCAAAATCGTTAAGATTGTATAAAATATTTTTATTCAATTTGTTATATATTATATTAATAAAATTTAATCATTAAAAATTAATTTATTTTTAAAATTTGAAATATTAATATAAAAATAAAATTAATTTAATATATTTTTCTTTTCTAATACTCATTAATGTATATTTTCTATTTTCTTAAATTTTCTTATATAAATTTATATAATAATTTTATTATATTATATATATGTTATTTTTAATAAAACGTAAACTAATAATGTATCATAAAATAAATATAATTTGAAAAATCGATTTATACTCAAAAATTTAATTAAAAGTCGTAAATATTTATCTAAATTTTTAATCATAACTTAGTTATATATAATGTATATATATAAATTATATATGAGGTAAAGTGAGAGAGAGAGAGAGAGAGAGAGAGAGAGAGAGAGAGAGAGAGAGAGCACAACAAAAATATTAATTTTGTAATTATTTTGATATTATATAAAACTGATAACTGAATTAAAAATAGAAAATACTGTACTTTAATATTGAAATTTTAGTTTACAAAAGAAGGCATTATAATGTTGTCAAAAGTTTGTCATAACATTATAATAGAAATAAATATATTATATATTATATATAACTTATTAACAAATACTGTATATATTATGTAACATGTGATTAGATGACAAAATGAGGTTTATTTTTAGACTTTTTAATTAATGAAATAACTCTAATATTATTAAAGTAATGTATAATTTAAAGCAATCAGTTTTAGTAATTGTTAGCTCAGTAGTAATGCTATGAAATGCTATGAATGAATGCTATGCTTAATGTGTATAACTCTGTCTTAATTTAATAACAATTTTATTCCTCTATATGTTAATGTCATAAATAGTGCACACAAAATGTATATATATATTAAGTAATATATATATATATAACAAGCAGATTGTTAGATAGATAAATAGAAATATATGTATTGTATTTATGTGAGTGTATCTAATACATATTATGTGTGTTTTATGTATGTGTGAGTGAGTGAGTGAGAGAGAGAGAGAGAGAGAGAGAGAGAGAGAGAGAGAGAGAGAGAGAGAGAGAGAGAGAGAGAGAGAGAGATTATAATGATTTGATGCATGACTTAAATTGAAGGCGTATAACTCATAGCAATCTAACAAATATTAATCAAAACAATTGTTTTGATAATTTGAAAGCTTTTTAATGAGATACAAAATTTTGCTTTTTCTTTGCTTTTGTTTTAATTAGATTTTTCCATACACTTAATGAAAATGCTTTGAATCGACAAACACTGTGCACAACATATACACTACACTACTGTACTGCACATACACACAGACTAACTATTATTTGAGTAATTATATAGCAAATCAGTAATTGAAACTCAAACCAAATTATATAAGTTCCTCTCTCTCTCTCTCTCTCTCTCTCTCTCTCTCTCTCTCTCTCTCTCTCTCTCTCTATCTATCTATCTATCTATCTATCTATCTGTCTATCTATCTATCTGTCTCTCATAGAATATATACAATATATATATATATATATATGAATCAAGAGTACAATAGTTGGGTCAACAATAACGGATCTATGCTTTCTATTTGCAATATTAGAGACATATTATTGCTCATACAATACAATATACGGTATAGTGATATGTATAACACAAAGTGATATATTACACATATTAATACAGTCTACGAGTATTATATAATACAGTATATTAATATAAATAATAGTAATAATAATCAGTTTTAAACAATTTATTCAAATTGCTTGTATTTATTTCTCTTTATATGCGAGATCACGTAGATTGAGATGAAATAATATAAAATAATTGCAATTATTTTAATATATAATTGCAATTATGGCTTATAATTTATCCATTTCTTTAAATGAGAGAGCAATCAATTAAATGAGTTTCTATATTGTGATGGCAATCACCAACATTGCAATTTAATTGATAATATTACATATAAATATATATATATTGTATTATTTTTGGTGCTATGCATACATCCCACGTGTACTGTAAAAATAATTGACAATATGACCCAATCGACCACAAATGACAAACCAATTTGCGGCAAATCATATACCAGTTCCCCTTTCAGGCCATTTTGCCTGTGCTTCCCAGTTATGGTTTAACAAGAAGAGGCATAAAATCACTTTTTGAACTGTACTTTCATAATAATGCCTACAATCCATTCAATACATACATCATTACAACAATCAAATCGATTTGAAACCGCAATTGCAATGCATTCACATTTGCTGTGATCTCATACTTTATATAACGATTAATTATAAATCGCTATTTGAATATTCCATATATTTTTATTATATTATAGTTATTATAGTATAGTTTTATTTAACACTAAAAACAATAGTTATAAATAAAACTTAATATTTTGTCATTTAAAAAATTGTTTTTTATATAATAATAAATTATTATTATTTAGTTAAGTAATTTTAATTATTTTGTATAAATTGTACGAAGAATTGCACAAAATCATTGGGTATCGAACTCACGATTTTCTGATCGAAAATAAAACATTTAAACTATTAACGTCAATAACAATTATATATTTATTAATTTACTAGTTATTTATTAAATATGATGTTTGATTTTGAATAAATTTATTCTATTAATACATACATATGCAGTAAAAATACAAAAACTTATTTTTTATTTTTATATATTATATTTAATTTATGTTACTTTAATGTTTAGAAACAATTATTAAAAACACATTATTCTTAATTAATTTAGTCACTAAAATCTGTATGTATTTGTAAAATGTATATTTCATATATAAATAGTATACTGTATTTATGTTAGACGCATAAAAAGTGTACGTAATATAGTAAATATAATGAAATGTTTTAAAAACTTTATATTAACTAAAGTAAATGCTTTTAAATTAAAGAAAAATAAAAACGTTTTAAAGGAAAACATTTTATTTAAAAGGCTTATTGAATATTCAATTTTGTTTAAATTTTTTCTTGTGTTAACAATTTTCAGAAAAACATTTAATGGATAAAAATACAGTAAAAATGAGTTAAATATAATTATATTATATTAAGGATAGAAAGTGATAAAAAAAGGTTTTTTGAATATTAGGCTACTTTATATTAGATATTATAATTTTGATAGAAACTTATTAAAATATACCAAATAATATGTGCTAAACATTAACAAAAATTAACATTACATTATTAGATATTTTGTTAATGTAAAGATTATTACATACATTAGAAAAATGCATTAAAAATAGTTAAATAAAAAATCGGTGTGAAATAAGTGTACTGTGTATATATTAAATTAATAATAAATAATTATTTAGTTGACGTATCAAAACATCATTAGA